GTTTTTGATTGGTAACTCAAGGAGTTGAGCCACTTTATGGGCTATCGAAGCCTCATTTTTACTTGGGCAGTTACCGGAAAAATTATATTGAAGAATTTGGCTGAGAATTCATAATTTGTTAAAACGCTTAAGTAAAACAAAAGATTGAATTACTTAGTAGTAGTTTGCTATTCTATCAAATAAATCATTTTCAGAAGAAGTTAAAAAAAGGTAATAATTCACTACCCCTGTAAGTTTAAATGTCTACCACCGATAGACCGTTGTGATGTTAAAAATTTCCTAGTATTATTAAAGTGGCATTTTGCTTTGAATTAAATGTCACAATGGATCTACAGAAAGAAAACAGAAGTGACCGTGAGGTGATAAAAGCCCGCATCTGACTGGTTAATACTCTTTCGAAAATTCAGGTTATGAGCTGTCCCTGGTGCTTCATCCAAAATTCACAATTCCTTCATCAAATGCAAGTAGTCAGATTTAAAAAAACTGGATTTAAGCTATGTACTTTAAGTCTATTGGCGCAGGTCAGGAAGGAGAAAGTAAGTCTCAACTTGAAAAGCAAACTGAGAAAGGTATAAGAAATTAATTGATTTAATGGAACTGTACATTAGCTTGACATGTGTTGCATTTCTTTCTGCCCTCAGTGCAAGTTTTTCATCATCTTTGCAACTAAGCCAGTTTGTCAGTTTTCTGGTTTGAGAGCAGCCAGTGGATTGAGCTATCTATTAACACCCTTTTATCTAGCTGAAGACAAATGTGTTAGCCTAAGCAGTGATAATGACTGTAATTCTTAATGAAATCCTATACAACTTTATCGAAAACTTTGCTTTTACACAGCTGGTAAGTGTGAGGAACAGGTGAAGAGAGAAGAGATTTCAGGGCCCAGTGACAAAGGCAAAGAGGAGAAGACTTTTTGATAAGTCACTCAAGATGTCAAGGCTCTATATCAGTCATTGAAGAATCTCTTTTACCTTGGTTATCACCGGGTTGATTTATAGTGAAGAATTAGTACGAGATTAATGACTATATAAAACGCTTAAGTAAAACAAAATCAAGCGACGGGTACTGATGTCCTTTTTCTCAAATAAATGAATTTCTTAGGAAGCTGTAGAAGAAAATAATGTAACAGCTGGCAACTTATTTAAGTAAAAGTGTCTACACACCGATCGAAGGTTCTTAAAACTTTAATCAAATTTAAATAATTGGATTAATTCAATCTATTCTAAATCTATTTGAGCAGGTCAAGAAGGAGAAAGTAAGTCTGAGCCTACAGAGTCAACATTC